CCACCTGTGAAGGTTATAAATGCCCTTTGCATGACCATGGGATACCATTGTAAATGTGTACCAGTTGCCAGGCACCTAAATCATAATCAGATGACCACAGGGATGCTGCAATGGCACAACTTTGAGGACTAGCTGCAAGTCTTTTTCAGCATCCTCATAACTTCAAACAATTGCTAAATGAATGGTTGGTAAACAAGGACTACTTGTATTTGCATGTTATATTTTTATGCCGGCCAAGTGAGCTTAGTGTGATCATATATTGAATAATCTGAGCTTTGGAACTGATGGAATTGCAAATGACAAGCATAATAAATCACTGCTACTATACCCACAGTCCAAAAGATATCCATGGTGAGTCTTGTGCAGGTGATAGCTGCACAAGATCTCAGATTCAGTATATACCACACAGGAACCATCACAGAGAAGTGAGAGTAATACTAAGCTCTTGCATTAGAAGGAAATTTTTTATAGGCCTGACCCTTATGCCTTTATTGTATCAAAGAATTCCACTTTCCCCAGGTAAAATTCTTCCAAAGAGAGTAGCTTGAAGGCCAGTGGTGGGATTCAGCCGGCAGAACCAGTAGCTAATTTTTTGTTGCTCAGGTCCAGAATGGATTTCCGGAACAGCATCTGCACAGAGAACTAGTTGTTCACATATTTGAATCCCACCACTGCTCCAGGCTCATAAGTATTTGGCATAGCAGCAAGAATGATACACTGAGCAGGCTTGACTTAGTCTTTTTTTCCTCTGAGGATCCTTGTTTTGCATTTCCATGCTCTAAAGGTGGCAGGCAACGCAAAAAGAAATAATCCCTTTATTCATGTATGCTGCACTACAAATGCATTTATGTAGAAGTTAGAGTAACTGACATCAGTGTGATTTTATAGTAAATATGTTTTAAGAGTCAGACTGAAAGCAAGGTGTTATTTAGATAATATCCATTTAAAAATACTTTGGTGTCATCAGAAAATCCACAGCATAAGAAAAATATTACTAATTAGTTATATCATATATCCCATTTCTGCATTTCCTCTTCTGCATTCAGTTTGATTGCAGTGGAGACTAAGGGTATTTTTACTTTCCCATTTGTTGTTTATATTTCAGGTTTTGTTTAAAATTATGTTTTTCATAATTTAGGAAGGGATGGATTAATATATATGGAAAGTAATGCTAATCTTGCCTTTGTGCTTTGTGATATATTCCTCTAGGATTTGAGCAGAAGGTCACATGTTGAACCACAATGATATCATTTCAACTGAGTTGACTGCATCTTCTCCACTGGGACAGATTTATTATTTTGTAATTGTAAAGTTTTCTTTATTTTGCCATTTGACTTATACAAGTATATATCGTCTATGATGCTTTCGTTCTTTTAAATATCCCAGAAAAGTATTGAAATTTTCAATTATCATTCTTACTCACCGAAAATATTGTATGACACTATATACATATAAATAAATTTCTATTTTGCATGAAATATTTGCAATTTTTATCTCATGGGAAAGACATACATTGTAAAATCTGCATAATATTTTCCTATTCAGAACTTTGTACAATTGATTTACAGATGCCTCAGGAGAACTTGGAAATGTGCTTTACCCTGTTCCCTTAATATTTTTTCTTGTTAGAAAGAATAAACTTTAAATCAAAACTGCCTGCTTGTGTAGTATCTTTTTATTTTAAAATGTTTTAGAAGTAATTATTCATCTAACAGAAATCCATATCATTCATTAAATGTTTTATATATAAAAAGAAAAGAATTACTTACTGAAGAGTTAATCCCATTACACATTTTGGCAGAATAAACATTTGAGAGAATGATAGAAGAAACAATAGTACTTTCAGTATTGTGAAAATAATGTTGTAGACTCCAATAGCTATCATTCATTCATTGGGCAGAAATGAAATAGAAGCTTAAATAAGTGATTTTTTTAAAAATCTGATGATTATAATTATTCAATAACAGCTCAATAACATTGTATTTACTATGTTATAGAAATATGTATATCTACATTATTAGTGGAAAAATATTATGTACATAAGGAAGCTATTTATTTTTGAACAAGGCTGCTCAAGATCATTTACCATAGATTAGTTTTCCCTAATGATTTTTAACTATCCTGTTGTCTCAATCAGGATAATTAAGGAATGGCTTTTCTGGTGTTACTTAGCTGTGTATAATGCCAGGACCCTAACTGCTACTGGTGATTACATATTTGATTTGGACTAATACTAAGTATAAGGTATATACATATAGCAAGAGACTTGTAAAAAATCTTTCCCCTTTAGGGCCTAGAGAAAATATTGTATTCTTGCATTACCCATGCAAAAACTTTTTCCTCCAAAATACTTTGCATCAAATTGATTAGCATTCCCCAAGCAGGAGTGCTGCAAAAGATTGTTAGACTATGACTTCCTTTGGCAGTACTAGCTGGAAGATTATGAGAACTGTAGGCAAACATATCTGGAAGGCACCATATTGGGGAAATCTGAGTAAAAGTGATTCATATCATTCCTCTCCCTGCTATTGTTCTGGAGAAAACCAGTCTTTTGAAACTCTTATTTTCATTATAGGCTAGCTCACAACTGATATATTTTGCATGTAAATGTACAGATAAAACATAAATGCTTTTAAGATCCTATGAAACTGCCTACATATTATATTAATTTATTTTGTAATTTTTATAATTTAATTAGATCAAAGGTTCTGGGTAGGTTATAACATTTTAAATGTAACAGCAACAATAGCCATAAATCATGTTGTAGAGAAAGGGGCAAAATGTCACTAATAAACCTAGCTAGACTTAAAGTCCTAATGAAATAAAGATCTTTAAAAAAAACGTGAGGGAACTATATGCACTACTGGCGGGAAAACAAAATGGGGTGCCACCACAAAGAATGATATATCATGATAAAGGAAGGAAGGAAGGAAGGAAGGAAGGAAGGAAGGAAGGAAGGGAAGGGAAGGAAGGAAGGAAGGAAGGAAGGAAGGAAGGAAGGAAGGAAGGAAGGAAGGAAGGAAGGAAGGGATGGATTCCAGTATGACCTTATTCAACAGGCAGATTCAATTCTGGGAAAGTGACATTAATGTATATTGCTTTAATTGGAAATAAAGCTAGCAGTATTAGCTTTATTTCCGACTAAAGCAATATGCATTAAGTATCACTTTCCAAGAATTGAATCTGCCTGTTGAATAAGGTCATACTGGAATCCATCCATCCCTCCCTCCCTTCCTTCCTTCCTTCCTTCCTTCCTTCCTTCCTTCCTTCCTTCCTTCCTTCCTTCCTTCCTTCCTTCCTATCATTTTAAGAAATCATATTTATCATGAAATTAGTAGAATCAGAACTGCAAACATTATTCATAAGACCTCTCACACATGCTTACTTTTCATATATGTTAATTTAACTACAGCTTCTGAAACCACTGTCTTCATGATTTGAACATGTTTTGTCAGATTATTTCTCAACTCATAGTTCATAAAAACACTTAATCTGTTGGCAATCTTATTACAACTGTGTAATTATCATAGGAGGGTTTTATTTTAGTCTTCAGATGTCTCTTTTTCCATTCTCATGTTTAGAATACAGTACATGAATTTCATGTGAGCTTGGCAAAACAATCATTTATAATCAAACTCAATAATCAAGTCCACAACCATAAACATGCATACTAATTTAAAAAATTAACCACATGAAAGAAAGTCCATCAAAAGTAAAGACCTTGCTTGTCTTCTTCAGATGTCCATTGATAATGCTGATTTTGTGAGGGTTGAAGTTCTAACACATCTGGGAGTAATAGCTTGGGGAAATAGTTCCTTCCTGCCATGAATGAAGAACAAATAAAAAGGAATAGAAAAAAATAGATCTCCAATCTTGATTTCACCCTTCTCTAATTTGGTCCCCTTCAGGATTATAAATCCCATCACTCCTGGCATTATGATGGGAGTTATCCAACATATCTGGAGAATATCTGATTGGATTAGACTATCCTGCACCAAAAGTTCTCAGCTCTGTTTTTGATCATTTCATTTTTTCAACTACTTCATCCCCTTCTTCTAGCTTTAGTCGAGTAACACACTAAGACATAAACTTTATATAATGAGGGAAGTATGGCACAAATGGAACCATTCACACTGCCTTACAAGCATTCAAAAGAGTTCTCACCTTGTATTTCTTTATGCCAGTGCTATAAACAACAGTGTTCAGCATCCAGCTTAAAGGAATTCAGAACGGTAGGGTTCTGAGCATGAAATCTTGGCTCAGAAATGATGCTGCTTATAGGCTTGTTATTTAATTTTTTTTCTTCTCTCCATGTCTTTTCCACACATGTATTTTTTACTACTTTAAAGAATTGACCTAGTGATCTCCATGCTAGTAACAACTTCATCTGCTACAGTTGTGCAAACAAGTATTCTGTACTACTAATCTCAAATATGCAATTCTGCATAGTACTGTTTTTTCTCCTCTTCTCATTAAAAAAAAAGGCTTTGTGTGATTTCCTTATATATTTCCTTTCTCCTGGGATGGTTTTGATGCCATATTTTTTGGCCTTCAAACCTTAGCATTGTATTTAAGGGAAAAAAACCACACAGATTAACAACAGAAATACTTCTTCTTTTCCTGTTTTAGTGTACAGTAAATACAAAAGGCCAACCCTTTTGATTAAAACAGTGGTTCTGTTTACATAATGTGTTAAACTATAGTTTAACAATAGTTTCATGTCTGAGCAGGCTGCATTTCCATCCCCTGAATATTACTGTGTAACAATTCATTGGGTTAGGGTTAGCTCACAGTGCATGAAATGGAATATTAATTGATAAACATAATACCTTCCTAATCTATAGCCTTTTTGAACTGTTTCTTTTCTAAACTTCCCCAGTTGTTGCTACTACTGAGATTTTGTTTTAAGGTAAGAGGGGGACACTGGTAAGCGCTTCCCCTTTAAATTCCAGTTGTGTGACTAGGAAACAGCTCCTCTTATTGCAAAGCATTGGGCTGGGGCTGCTGGTGTGAGATTGTCCTTTTACTTCCTGGCTCTGGCAGCAAGGAGAAGATCTGATCGCCTGCTGAGTTCTCTGGGGGAGGAAGGCAGGCAGGCAGGCAGGCAGGGTGACTCCATCACTCAGAGCACAAGCATCCAGCCATCCATCTGAGTCTGGGCTTGTTCTGACTCCTGATCAACCCTTCTTGGCTCCTTGGATGAGTATCCGTTGTTGTGGCCGTGGGAGAAAGATAAAGGTGGCTTGTTTCTAATCTTCCTGAAGAGGATTTCCATAGTAACCTGATGAAGTCGTGCAGTTTAGCTGAGGATTTTTCTTAACACTTCTAGGATGATATCTGATAGGTAAGGCTCGTGGCTAACCCTTGGATCTTTTACATCTCTGAGTGTTTATAAATATAATCTCTCTCTCTCTCTTTCTCTCTCAATTGCCACTGATGACTCAAAGTTCTCCTGTTAAAAAAAAAGCTCATTTTCCATTTGTTTTACCTATATTAAATAAATGATGTAATTTCCTGGAGTCAAACAAGCTCTTAACCCTTTATTATTATCAACATTATTGAAATTGATGGCAGCACCCAGATTTCTCTGTCTCTCTGTGTATGTGCAGTTATGTATATTAGCGTGGCTCTTTTTAAAAGCTTCGTTATTGTCTTCCAAGAGAATGATACTGGCGAGCATCATTTCATTGCAGTGGCACTGGATGCTGAGCGTTGTGCTCTGTGGTGGCAGGATTAGACTGTGGACTAGCGACTTTGGGGACTCCAGAGGCTTTAGCCAAGAGGCAGCATCCTTGGCCCAGGGCATCCTTTGCAGGCTTGGATGGATAAGAGGTGGCCAGGGGCTCCCTGGCAGATGAAAGCATAGCGCTTCCTTACCTTCTTTGTTTGTCCCTTCCTAGATTTTTCTTCCCTCCGCCCCATTTTCCAGTTTCTCTTCTCTCTTCTCCCGCCCCCTGGTTTGTTTGCCGGCTTCTCTTTCCCCTCTTTCTCCTTCTTTTGTTTTGGGGGGAGGGAAGGATGGAAGTGAGAAGCTCTGGGAAAGGAAAATGCATGGTATAGTTCGCTTTAAAGCCTGTGATTCTAGCGAACCCTCACAGCAAACGCGAACATTCATTCCCAGTCTTTTCTCTCGCTCCCTTTCCCCCTTATTATAAGCTGGCGTGCGGCTGACAGTCGGCACGTTTTTTCGCCACTTTATTGATCTTTTCTCAGGGTTGTGTAGGTGCAAATGTGCGTTATGTCTCCTTTCTCTCTCCTCCCCTTCCTGCCTGGACAGATGAGACACTGTTGTAACGATCAGCGTGTTCTCGGCGAGGTGGATGGCATCTAAATCTCCCCAAAGCGATCGTTTAAAAGGAATTAACGTTTCTTCTTGTAAGACAAGAGACAGGCAGCGTTAGGGGCTTGTGAGCTGGAGAAACCGGCGGCTGAGGGTGGCAGCGGTGGAGGAGCGGCCAAGCAGAAGCTGACAGTTTGTGGGTTTGTGTGCATGTTTTTGGAGTGGGGGAAATTTCGCCTGGATAATAGGGAGGGCGAACTGGAACTGGGAGGGGGCGAAAGTAGAAGAAAGCAGCCTGTTGTTAATTGCCTAGGTTACAGTTCCTGCATCCCCTGCGAGAGCTCCTCCGAGTCCTAGCGCCTGCCAAGCTTCTAGGTGGTTACATCAGGTGCCGGCGGAGCCTTCGATCCTACTTTAAGCAAGCGGTCTGATACTGAGAGGGGCCGGGGGCGTGGTCGTGGGAGAATTTAAACACGCCAAAGTCGTGGGGCAGCTTAAAAGATAAACAAGCTTATGCTGACTGTAAGAAACGGGGCGGGTGTACACATTCACAAAAGCTGGTGCCATAACATTCAAAATGTCCAGCTGGGTAATCCCTTTATTTGGGATAACCCAAAATGACATCAGGGAGAGGAACAAGCTTTTGAGTTCTCCGTGCTCTTCATAGGGCAAGGTGCAGCCAAGCGCCAGGGACAGAGAGGAAGCCAGAGAAATCCTGCGTTAGGCCAAATGTTAGCGCCATGAGATCTGCAGTTCAAATACAGCCTCAAGATGGAGACTGTGGACTGAATGCATTTGTGCAGGGTAGGTGTAACTAGTGTCACGTTTCACTTTTTCTTCAGGAACAAAGAAAATTGTTGACTCCCTCCAGTTCTGCAGATTTCAGGGCCATTAGTTCCCAATCTGGTTTTTCCTCCACTAGCTGAACCTAAAGATGCCTGGCCTGACAGAGAATAATAATAAAAAAGAATAAGTTGTTAAAGGGCTTTCAAATAAAGATAAAAATTGTTCTCTTTTAGGACCCTTGAATCTAGAATTTATTCATATTTTCCCTCAAGGATCTTGTACTGCTTTTAACAAAAGGTCAAGTTCTTCACATCATTTTGTTCTATAGAACATATCTTCCTTTTCAAGATTTTCCATCAATTTCTTCCTGTCAGGCAATTGTTTAAATTTAAAGGTACTGCCAAGTGAAAGTTTTCCTCTCAGTATCAGGTAAATATGATAAGACTCTTCTGTTTATCTGTAAATTATATGAGCCTGATCTGATTCCATGGGAGCAGCTTTCTAGCCAAGACTCAGGAGGATGCTATGTTTCCTACTGAATTCTTTTTCTTCCCCTGTATCCTCTGGATAAGCTCTTTCAATTCATGAAATGACTTGTAAGAGAATAAGTATAATTATTAGAAATAATAGCCTCAAATTAGTTAACAAAAGATGAATTGCCTTTAAATGAAAATGACTTTCAGTAAATCAGTAGAACTTTTTTCCTAGGTAAGTGTTCATAAGGTTTCTAGCTTCAATATTTAGCTCCTATGTAAAATAATAACTGATTATACTTGTAGAATGTGTAATTTTAAGAGATCCATTTTATGTTGAGCAATGAGTTTGATTGTTCTGCAAATAAAGACACTTAGGGCATTCACAAGCAAAAGTATTTCTGGAGTTGGAACATAAACATACAGTCCTATTTTATGTATTTCTTTTTTCAGCAAATGCTGATGAGCTTGGTAGAGGGAAGAAGTAGCTTTGTAAAAGAATGAGGGAGGGGCATAAACTGATGACAGAGCAGAAAAGTTGAAAAAGCCCAATTGTGATCCTACAAAGACTGAAAAAGAATTGTTAATGTAAACAGGCCAAGATATTGATTCTAAACATATATTAGGAAGGAAACAGTAAGGGTTCTTAAAATTAAATAAATTTATTTGGTGAGAAATGAGCTTTTGTTCAGATTCCTGTCTAAAGCTTTTCAATACACTTCTTCGATACTTCATCTTAGATATCTACTAAAGCATTGTTATTAATTATTTGAATAAATATGTGTGTCTTAAGAAAACAGAATTGTTGAATAAACAGAAATGTAATGCCTGAGGTTTAAATAATTTTCAAGAAGTCTCCTTGGCAAAATATTCAAATATGAAGAACATAACAAGGGACAGAATGTTTAATTATAATGAACCCTGACACCACAGTGGTTAGACTGCAGTATTGCAGACAAACTTTGTCTACAGCCTGGAGTTTGATCCTGATGGGGCTCCAGATTGACTCAATCTTCCATCCTTCCCAGATCGGTTAAATGAGGATTCAGATTGTTTGGGGGCAATATGCTGACTCTATAAATTGCTCAGAGAGTGCTGTAAAGCCCTATTGAGTGGGATATAGATCTAAGTGCTATTGCTATTGCTACAATAGTTAGCTTCTGATATAGAGGATACACTGTACATTCCATGTTCATTTGAGAACAAGGCAAATGAAGAAGCTGGCTTTTATTCAGCTATTATTATTTTTTTGGGTTAAACTGAAAACCTAGTTCCAAAAAGAGTATTACATTTGAATGATTTTCTATAGCTAAAACTTTATGTGCACAGTCATTTCTGGGCATCCTTGTGTATCTTATGATTAGCTACTTTACTGTTGAAATAAGACAGTAGCATCAATGAATTTATATTTTTCTACTGAACTGGCAACCAGCATATACGAAAGAAAGTTAAGTTACATGACATCAAAATGGTAACATATGCATCATGATGTCATCAAATAAATGACTCATTTATGTATTTGCATCAATGACTCATTAGCAAATCAAAGTTTATTACAGATCACTGATTCAGACTTTGAAAAAAGTATGTAATATGGTTTACAACATAATATGTATAATGATCTGTTACAATAATCACCACTAAGAGATTCAAACTGAATTTGCTTAGTCAACTCTTTCTTGTATATAGAATATTATTCATTTATTAACATATTCTCCTTAGGTTGCTCTACTCTGAGGGATAACATAAAAAGGATATTTTTACAACATTTAATAAGAATCATATCATATCATATTTAATAAGAATCAAACCATATCAATTATAAAAGAATATGTTTTTCAACAAGAAATTACACATTGCAATATGATCACTATTTAGTGGTCTGTTTAGTCCTTCCATTGAATCTATTTTTCAATCCAAAACTTTACATTTGGGTTTATAGTTTCTTTATAGCTGCACATTATTCTCATCTTTATTATACTACCAACCATTGATAGCTATTATTTCTCATAGATCAATAAATTCCAAATATTCTGTACATAGTTTGATATTAACTTTGTCTTTAAATCATTATTTTCTTCCCATAAAAATACAGATATAAAACCAACATGAGGTAGACAAGAAGCCAGTGCAAAGCATGTGTATTAAAGATTCTTCATATTTGTTGTTTTTCCAGCATTAAAAATTTAAATGATGGTGAGATGTGTTGTGATGTATGTTAAACACAAATATGAAATGTATTATTAATACCATCTTAGATCATAAGACATATGACTGACATTCCTTAAAACATGACACTTCTGATTTGTTAAAATAAGATATTCCAACCTTTTATTTCAAAATGTTTGTAAATTATCAATATTTATTGGTTTTCCTCTGCTGTTTATATAATTTAACTAGAGATATAAACTCTGCTGAAACCTGTAATATGCCTGATGATTCTAAAACTCCAGAAATGGTGAAAAGCTGCCAGATAATCAGGTTCCATGTTGATGCAACATAATAATATAAATTTGAAGTCTAAACCTGTGGCTTTCCACTTGTTGAATTTGCTGGTGAGCTGGTGGAATTTAAAATATAGTGTTATTGGGATTGGTAGGCTTAAAAATATTTGGAAGGTGATTTTTCACTCTTAATGTTCATATATATCTTACTGTTTACCCCAGTGGAATTATATGTGATAATTTTATTTCAAAGTTTCATTAAAAAATTGGACAAGTAAATATTCACAGTGCAAGCATTGCTGTGGCCTACTGTTATATGCATCTATAAAGAAAAAAAGAAGAAGCTTTGTTGACCCGAACA